GAAAAAAATCAGTATACTTTTCAGGAATTTGAAACAGGATTTGAATTGCTCATTAATTCCAGAAAACTTTCCACTTCCTCAAAATCTCAGGTAATCTGAATGAGGTGACTTATGCCGCATTCCGAATCAAATTTATTTCAATTTCCTTTGCATAATCATAAAAACATATTGCGGTACTGTATATAATGAACAGCATATCTGGCTAAGCTTGGGAAATTCATGAGATTTTTGAGGCACCTGGAGTGTGTACTTTTACTGAAATATTGTTGGCAAGACTGACGGTTGACTGCAACCTCAGAACGGCGCCAGAGAGGATTTCAAAGGCTTAAGCCCTTCTTGCGTCGTTTTCAACCTGCGTTGTTTACCGGGTACCATTATGATTTTCTGCGTGCAGATGATTCTTATTGCAATAAGTAAGAGATTCAAGAAGCGATCTAGGGTTTGAAAGTCTGTGATTAAGAACATTCCTGCTCAAAAACTGTTTCGTCGGGATATCATTCAGTTTTTAAATTGAAAAATATAATCATTGTGTCTCGAAAATATCATTCTTCCAATAATGTTCAAGTTTTCAAATGGCTCGGTTCATTCGCCGAGAAAAATCAGTGACAAAAAAGTTAGAAAGTAAGACAGCGATCACTTGCTTCATAGACATGTTCTCGTCATTTGAGCTTGCTTAATACATTATATGAATATTTTATGTAAATGCCCGAAGTATAATTACATTATACAGTAGTATCCTTCTTATCTACACGTGCATGAAATCACCGAGCACTTCCACCTTGCGTCATATTTTGAAGACTGATATTCTTCTCGAATCACGTCAGTTGATTGCACGTAATATAATAAAGTATTTCAATAGAACGATTGCGCGAGAAAATGTCAAGGAAAATATCGAATTTAGCATATTTCAAAGAGAGCAGGTCTAAGGCAGAGAGACGTATATTACTGCACTTGATTTGTTTAAAAAATTAAAGTTCTTTGCGTCCTTGTTAATCCCGAAAGAATCGGAAGAGATGGAGAGCAATTTCAGCTGATGAATTTCATCCACTGTAGAACTCGCAAAAACACGCTTTATCACCGTGAAATAGGCTCATGCGGTTTGTTCAAATGCGAACTGCCACCGACTGCGCTTAGAAAAATCTTCCGTCGACAGACCGACCTACGCCCAGAATTTCATCCCCTCATTTTCTTATTCGCTCATCCTTGTGCTTCCACCGTTTTTTTTATTGTTTTTTTTTTATGCATCTTCTTTTCTTTTCTTTCCGAAACCTCAGGCTGCGATTCCTTGCTGTGGTACCGCCCAACTGAGCGCGAGCCAACTGATCGCCGACGAGGAAACCAGCTCAGCGTCCCTGAGTTGATCTCGTTTAAAAGACATTAAAGAGCTCTGTTTTAATGTATACCCATAATGTATGCATAGGCTGGAAAGGTAAACGTTATATGCCGCAAAACTGATATATTTCCAAGCAATGCTAGAAAATGATATTTTCACGCATTGATAGCAATTACAGCAATTGTAGAAATGAGTTGTACAGTAATTTTTGTTAGACGCGTTTTCTCTACATGTACTTTATTTATTGGAGATAAACCGACGCACTCACGTCCCAGGAATGATCAAATATTTTAATAACTTCCGAGTTAACTTCCGACACAGAATATTCTTCTGATGAAAGTCCATCTTAAATTTACTTGTGCTGCCCAAATATAAGTACAAAATGGACAATTTCATAGAATACCGTTAAACACAACAACACACAAATTTCAAGTTTTACAACGCCTGAATGTCATGAAAATTTTTACTTTATTGTTACTGGTCTGTTATTGCGTCCCGGCGGTTTGGTCCAATTTTTAGTTCGTCATTTCAAGTCAAAAACAGGCTTATTCTTGAAAGAGAAGTGGGATGTAGTTCATAGTTATTGTTCCAAGCTCGTATTGTTGAACATCAAAGATTCTAACCATTGTGCTGAAGAAAAAAAAATCCATTTTTGCCCTGGGAATTGAAATATTGCCTATCATAAGTTTGAATACATTTTCTCTCGTTTTTGTGTGCCAGCAAGAACAATTCTCACTAAAATTGTTTCAGTACCATGATAATGGCTCACACATCATTGATTATAGTCAAGTTAGGAAAATATTTTCTGGTATTGAAATGCTTGCATCAAGAAGATACAGTTGCGTGTTTCTGGTTTTCTTTCGTAAATTTTAATACAACTCGAATAGACCTTGAATGAAATAGACACTATAATTCCCCAAGCTGGCTTTTAATTCACTGACTCTTAATTTTCCTTCGTGCTCAGTTGCATTGCATGAGAAATTGCGCTCAGTTTGACTTTTGCGCTCATTTGACCCAGCATATCTTCTTGTCGACGACCCAGGACACACGCACACGCAAATGTGTGTGTTCCCTGACCCAACAGATGAGCAACCCGTGTTTTAATTCCTGTTCTGTTTCTGTGCTTTCAAGTGTATATATTTATATACATATACTTGTTGCTTCATACGTGCGCTCCTCCTTTCGTTTCTATTTCTTTATTTTTTTCCTATTCTATCTTGCTGTCGAAGCTGGTTTCTTTCTTCCCCGTGTGTCGAGTCTGTGTCGCTGTCTATCCGGGTTTGCGGCAGTCTTCGCGTTTTTATTCTGTGAATTCCTGAGCCCGACAGTCGAAAGACGTTTTCTTGGCGCTGATTCCGACGCGGCCGCTGCCCACCTTTGCCATTATGCCGTCGGTTGTGTTTCACGGTTTTACAAGGTACAGTAAAAAAAAAAAACGCTGGGATATCCAGGTGTTGTTTTCTTCAGAGAGTATCTTATCTATCTTCTATTCTTCTATCTATGTAAAGGTGCTTGCCACCCTGCATTTGCAGCAACTTTCACCAAGCTTTCCCTGGTGGGCAGCACAGGTATTATAGGGTGCAGTGAAACAGTTGTAGAGGTACCAGGTTCAATCCCAAGTTCCCAACCCTTGGCACACATT